TTCCTTCCTTCCTTCCTTCCTTCCTTCCTTCCTTCCTTCCTTCCTTCCTTCCTTCCCTCACTCTTTTTTTCTCCTAACTACTTACACAGAAAAGCAGCGCATGGTGCCTGGAGCTATTATCACATGGAGAATGGATTCCCTCAGCCTCAGTTAGAAACATTAACTCATCTGGGCTTGATTTTGTGGAATGGACTTCAATGAGAATATGGCTATATCATTAGCACTGTCAACTCAAGAATAGTAGATACTTCACATTTCTTTTAAATCTGTTGTTTCATGCCTTGGATTCTTTCATAATTAAATAATGGCATACAGATGGAATACTGTATATGGCAGGACAAAGAATAATGAATATCATCGCGCAAATAGCATTTGTCATACGCGTGCATGTGACCAGCAGAGATGGGAAAAAGTCAGAATTTTGTGGGACGTTGCACTTTATTTATATGTATTTGGAATATCTTTTTGAGTATTCCCATAGATTAATACTAACCATAAGCTATCAGCCAATATTATTAGAAAATAGTATTTTAACCAGTTAATTGCAATACAAGTGAGTTTTATAAGTAATTACATATTCATAATATCAGAAGATGTATTACCATTCAAAATACTTGGGACTGCAAGCATAGTGAAAATATCTATTTAATAATAAAGAGCCCTTGAGTCTAATGGGAAATATTCCCAGGATTGTAGTCTTAGAATGTAGATTCTATGGAATCACTAAAGGATGATTTAATTCTGGTTAATAAGGCAACTAACAATCCAGATGGCCTAGTTCTTGAGCAATCTCATTCACATTATATGTACAATAAAGCTCAAGTTATATTATATTACAAATTCATGTAATTTTTAAATAATTCCTTGTTTAATTACATTACACTGGCAGGAGTTTTATTTTATATGAACCATTTCCTCAATATGAGCTTCCAATGTGGGTCATAGATATATGCTTATCTACCCCTAAAATGTTCCCTTTTTTACCTGCAAAAGAACCATTCTTGTTCCATTCTTCTCTTCCAACTTCTGAATGCTCTTCTGCATTTGATTTTTAAAACTGACAATATGCACTTGGGGATTTCTACCCCAAGAGTTTCTGAACAGAAACATTCCAGATATATTGTGAAGTCTTTAGCTAATCAACATCATAACTAAATTGCATAGTTAGTTTCTGTGTGTTTTTAGTGAAGTAAGACATGAATCACCTCACACAGTAACAGTATTATCCAGGTTTTTTAAAGAAATATGCATTATTTGATAACCTTTATTTATTTATGCATTTATTTAGTAAATAAATAAATATATAAATAAACATGTGGGTTCTTTTCATGAGAAAGTTTGCTTTGATAAGTGACATCCTGCGTCTGAGCAAGCTTTGCAGGAATTTACCAGATGAACTCAGGAAGCCCATCATCAGGGAATTCATCCAAACAGAAATTTCCAAAATTATGTTACCTAATAATATATCTTGCTGTACTGTTCTTGTTACGGTCCATCAAGTCAATCCTGTTTCCTGGTGATGACAGGAACAAGTCCCTGCCATTTTTTTGGCAACAAATTTGGAAGTTGTTTAGCAATACCTTCTTCCAAGGGCTTAGAGAGGGTGACCGACTCAAAGTCATCCCACCTGGCTTTCACACCTAAGGCAGAACTAGAACTCATAGTCTCCTGGCTTGTAATCCAGTACCTTTAACCATAGACCAACCTGGCTCTCTATTTATGCTATTTAGTAGTATATCCTATTAAAATTGATTGGAAAAAAATGGAAGATCAAGTTACAATACATGTTCTCCTTAGATACTTTAATAATGAATGGGATACGATGGCTGGATTTTCCTGTTGCAAGTAGGAGAGCTGAAAAGAGATTGTAACTCTATTCCCCAATTCCTTTAGTTAGGAGCCCATGATCAGAAACTTCCTTCTTTTTCTTTTTCCCTTATTGCTTGGAAAGACTGAGGATTTCTCAAACTCTTTAAACCATGAAATATCTACCTGGGGGTTTATTCTACAGTTATTTTCCAACTCTAAATAATGAGTATCTTTACTATTTTAATGATTATTGGTTTATTTTTTGCTAAAGGAGATTTAGGAGTTATTCAAAGGGGTGGAAGGTTGTGGTCTGAATGGTGCCCTGAAGGCTCAGGTCCCATTCTTATCCTAATTTTACTCCAGTACTACTACTACTACTACTACTACTACTACTACTACTAATTTATTTATTTATTTATTTATTTATTTATGGCTAAAAGACCCAAATAACAAAGTACAGGTAATATCTAAAAGTTTAGCATTAGATAAAACAGTTTAACAAATAACATAAATTGATAAATATCACATCAAACATTTAAAACTCAAACTCATTAATGTGTTACTAGAGACCTTGTTTTTATAGCTATAATTAAAAAAGGGGATGTTGCTAGTGAAATTTTAGGATTTTTATCTGCAAGTAAAATACTAACCTAGTCAGAAATACCTCCTCCTGGCCTTGATATTCAAATAGACCAGATAATTTCCTGCCAAAAACTCTTGAAAAACTCACAGTGCAATAAAATATGATCCACAGCTTCGAGGTCAATACCATTACAGGGACAACCTATTTGAGAGATGGGTTTCTTTTGAAATCTATTGTATAGCATATTTGATTGCAACACATTTAAGCTGGCTTTTGAAAAGGCTATTCTATATTTACTTAAATGTAAACTACTAAGGTGTTCAGTGACCTGAAAGAGAATGCTTGTAATTTATTCCAAAAGTCGGAAGTGAGCACAAAACTTTGGCTTTCACTATTAATTCTTGTACCGAGTTATCCCATAATCTTTGTGTGATACAATAAAATGCTGATGTCAGACCCCTAGAAAACAAATAATTTGGATCAATACCAATCTGACCAACATTTTAAGTCACTTGTTTAAACCATGTATCTACATAAGAATCATTTGGAATTTCACATAGCAATCCTTCCTTGTTTTTGAATTCATATATTTGAAACCAAAGTTTAATAGCACTTAGCCCAGCTTTTGTGTTCAAAGGGCATTATCTGGTTTCCATGAGAATGTCAGAGTTTGAACACAACATGGAACATTTAAAAAAGATCTTTAAAGAATTTAAAATTCTTTAAAATTCTACTTGCAGTTGGGTTATGTTATTGTCAACAACTGTAATACAAATTGGAGCTCTAGATAAAATTTGAGATGCAATTTCTGCATTAAAAACTTGTATTTGCAGGGACATATCTCCTCCCTTTTGAGTAAAAATAGTAACGCAAGGCTCTCATCTTTTTCCTTTTGCTTTCAGAAGTATTGCCATGGTTAAATAAAAGGCCCAGATAACTAGAATTCTTTGCCTGTGTTATCATATGGTCTTGAAATTTCCAGCTAAACTTTTTGATTTTTTTTCTCAAAAACCAAAATTTTAATTTTATCATAGTTGATTTGTAATTGAGTTTCAAATCCAATCTAGTGCATGAAAGAAGAGAAGTATCATCTGCCAAACACCCTCAAGGGTCTCACAGGAATAAATATTTGAACTACTCCCCCAAACCACTTTTAAACCAAATAAAGAAGAGATGATGAAAGGATAGCATAGCAGCCTCCACATTGTCTAGAAAATACATTCTAGAAGCTATGATGAATTAAAGCAAATTCATGTTAATCTTACAAGTGAAAAAAAAATTCAAAAACAGTTTTAAAAAGTAGAAGCAAGCTTACTAAAGATTAAGTATTTCACCATTCTCTGACTACTTTCTTTTGGGAATGGCAGGCTTGTTGGCATGGCTTATTCCCTCTTCCAGGCATGGCACATTATGAGATGTTTTAGATCGTTGGGTTTTGCTTTGTTTTTTGAATCTAAAAACTTTTTTAAAAAAGTGTGTTGTACCAAATGCAGTAACCACCAATGCACTATGATACAATGTAGATGTTCCCAACATCTGATTCTCTGAACTACTTTGAAGTGATTCAAGGGTACCTGATTTTATTCAAGACCTCCTCTGAATTTGAATCACCCTCCTGAAGCTTTGCAAAGTCATATTATATTGCATAACACTGTGCCATCCCCAAATACCCTTTCACATATACTATGCTGAGACACATTTCTCTAAGTTAGCCATCCCCAAAATAACAGTTTTTAGATTTCTTGAAATGATCACTCCCAAATTTTCTTATCAGCATGGATAGGAATTCTTGGAGTTTTAGCCCTGATGGGGATGGGAATTTTTGTAGTTTTAGCCCAGAGAGTCAATTTTCCAAACCTATAACACTAATTGTAGAAAAATTATTTATTTTGTGGTTGCCTTCATATAT